GAGCTGCGTTTGTCTGGGGATTAGCGGAGGGCAGATGGAGTGAAGTGCCATTCCCATCCCCAAACCTCTCGGCACTGACAGCAGCCTGAAATCCGAGATCACAACAACTTATTCAGCGAGTCCTGGCCGGGACTGGAGAGCGATTTCGCATTGTTCATCCCTTCTGCAGGAGGCCAGGGAGCAGGCAGGGCCCGGAGCAAGAGGAGCAGGAGCTGAACGACGTGTGCCGGCACCAGGAACCAGTGCGACCCGCGCCAGGAGCTCCATCCCAGTCCCTGCCTTCAGTCCTCCCAACAGCAGAGGTACAACAGACTCTAGGTTCTTCCCTGGAGAGCAAATCACCGCAGGGATGCTGGCTCTGGCTCCGCATAAATAAAAAGCTGTGTCCTCATCGATGCTCCTTACCTCTCTGGAAAAGAAAACTCACCTGCTCCTTGCTGCTGGCAGGATCAGGACATGCTTCCACCTTCCTCTACTGGTCCAGCCACAGCATGAACACTGAAGTGTGCCAGACCCCTGTCCTCCTGGCACACACGGGAGCTGCTACCCCCAAAACAAGGCACTGCAGTGGGCGGCACGGAGCAGGGGGAGGCCTGGGAGACCCTGCCGGACGAACGGAACAGGCAGACTGGCAGCTATTGTGGTAGAGGAATAACATTTATCTGTGGGGATAACAAAGTTCGTATTAAACCGATTAAAGATATTAAATCCATTTCTAACAGTATGGTCATCTGACCGCGCTCAGGAGACAGGGCAGATAATCCCACCCCTCGTTCTCAGAGCTGCCCCGATGATCCCAGCCTGGCCTGGGGATGACTCAACGCGTCCACGATGTCGGTCACAAGACCACGCTCAGCACGTCGGCGGCAAACGGGGCTTTACACCCGGCCGGGTGCTCCAGCGCCGGGCTGAGCCCAGATCCATGTACGCTTGAGTCAGTGTGGATGGCAAACAAGTCTGGGCTGGAGAAGAGGTTCAGCTGGTGCTGCAGACAGATCCAGCAACACAAACGCAGTGCCCAGCGTTTCAAAGCTGATGGCCAGCTCTGCCCAATGCCGGCAGAGAAAAGCCAACCCAAATTCCCAGCTCTTCCCTGCATGTTCCCTTCCGTCCGAGCTCCCAAGCCACCCCACATCCCTACCAATGGCTCAAGGCAGCAGCTCCACGGCTGAAATATTACAGAAATAATTCAATGCTGAGGAACACAAACCAGAGGTTGAATCTAATCCCTATCAGAGCAGGCATCCCCAGAGTGAGCGGTGGCAGATCCACCCATGCAGCCGCTCCCCTTGGAGATGGCTCTTGCCACATGGTGTATCTCAAGCAGCTGAAGGAAAAAATTGTGCTCTACCAACCCAAAACCCTCCCAGGAGGAACGGTCTTGACTGCATTTGCCAGGAGAATCCCCAATGCCTTGGAAAAAGCCCTCTGGTTTCACCCAGACGGCACTCGCGTCCTCCAGGAACGACGCTGCGGAGACCAACTGCCTCGCGGACGCGGCACAAGGAATTTGCTGCTCAGCAACTCGGATTCAAATGCTGGGCCAGTTCCCACTGCCAAACCACAGCGTAAACCCCCGGGAATTCAGCTTTAACTAGGACAGACTCATCTGTTGCAAACTTGATGAGATCATTTCCAAGTTCCTGTTTAACAGGTGCCAGCTCCTTCTGCACCTGCCATGTGCACAGGGATCAGCCTGCCTCCACCAAGCTGAGAACATCTGCTCGGCTCCCTCAGAAGCTGCAGAAAAGGTGACTGGAAGAAGAAACCAAGCCTTGACATCCCACCCCGTGCCCAGAACAGGGGATGTGGGCCAGGTGGGAACAGAGAGCAAAACAACTGCGCTTGTTCATAGGGAGAGGAACCCGCAATAATCTGGCAACTTTATTTCCATATAAAAAGAAAAAAAATATCCTCTTCACAATAAAGGCAGTAAGAGCTCACGCAGCTCCGGAGCTGCGCTCCTGGCCAAGCTGGAGGAGCGCGGGGTATTTCTGTCTCTGAGAACGACACGTTCACAGCCAGCAGGATCGGCTCAACCATTCCAAGGATAATGCTGCGTCGCTGGTAGGAATTAACGCTTGGCATGGGAAGATGCTCTGAGCATTGCCCCGGAGCCCAGTCCTTTCCAGGCAGTGCTGGGGAGGCACGGGAACACGGCACGAGGTGGCCACATGAAGGTGATGTGATGCAGCCGACAGCCTTTGGCT